GTTTGATTTCTTGACTGCTGCTTCCATGCATGTTGATAGTTGATCCAAGAAAAATGAATCCCTAACAACTTCAATCTTTTCTCCGTTGATAAGAATGAGGTTTATTGGTCCAGTAGTGAGGACTTTTGTTTTCTTTACATTGAGATGCAATCCATACCAAAGGCTGTGGTCTTTGATGTTCATCAGTAAATATTTTAAGTCCTCTTCACTTTCAGCAAGCAAGGTTGTATCATCTGCATATTGCAGGCTGTTAATGAGTCTTCCTCCAATCCTGATGCCACATTTTTCTTCATAGAACCCAGTTTCTTGGATTATCTGCTCAGCATACAGGTTGAATAAGTATGGTAAAAGAATACAACCTTGTCACACACATTTCTTAATTTTAAAACATTCAGTGCTCCCATGTTCTGTTCAAACAACTGCCTCTTGGTCCAGGTACAGATTCCTCATGAGCACAATTAATTGTTCCCAAATACTCATACTTCACAATGTTGTCCATAGCTTGTCATGATCCATACAATCGAAAGCCTTTGTGTAGTCAATAAAGCATTGGGAAACATCTTTCTGATATTCTCTGCTTTCAGCCAACATCCATCAGATATCAGCAATGATATTCCTCATTCCACAGCCTCTTCTGAATCTAGCTTGAACCTCTGGAAATTCTCTGTCAATGTATGCTTCCAGCAGTTTCTGTATTACCTTTAGTAAAACTTTACTAGCATGGGATATCAAAGATATTGTCCAATGATTTCTGCTTTCTGTTGGGTCACCTCTCTTTGGGCAGATAGTTGTCTTCCAAATTTCTTAACATACATGAGTGAGTACCTCCTGTGCCTCCCCACATTCTTAAAAGAGTCCAATTTTTATTTCATCAATTCCAGGTGCAATGTTTCTTGCCAATTCCTTCAATACACCTTAGACTTCCTCCTTCAGTACCATTGGCTCTTGATCATATGCTACCTCTTGAAACGGTTGAACACCAACCATTTCCTTTTGGTATAGTGACTCTATGTATTCCTTCCATCTTCTTTTGATGCTTTCTGCATCATTCAATAATTTGCCCAGAGAATCCTTCAATAACAAAAGTGGAGGCTTGAATTTTTTCTTCAGTTCCCCTAGCTTTAGAAATGCTGAGCACATTCTTCCTTTTTGGTTTTCTGACTCCAGCTCTTTGCACATTTTGTTGTAATATTTGACTTTATCTTCTGGGCTGACCTTTGAAATTTTCTATTCAGGTCTTGTACCTCATTTCTTCCATTTGCTTTAGCATCTCTACACTGCAGAGCAAGTCGTTTCAGTGTCTCTTCTGACATCCATTTTGACTTTTTCCTTCTTTTTTTTTTGTTTGTTTTTATTTTGAATTATGTGAGTTTACAGCGGAGAATACCAGTTTTACATTCATACTATCGTATTTCGTTTCATTGTAATGATTACAATCCCCTCCATGCATCATCAAACATGCAAAGAATACACCCTACAGGCCTGCCCCTGGCCGTCAGCACACAGCCTCGTCCCTCCCTGAGTCCAGTGTCCCCAGCCGCTCCATCTGTCCATGTCATCGTCTCTGCCTCCATTCCTGGCATCACTGCTTCTCTGGGTAGGGTCCCACATTCCACTCTTCTCACTTGATGGTCCCAGGGACCTCCGCTCTTGAACTGCAAAATCAATCACTCCCATCCTTTTATTACATCTACCTTTACATTTCCAACCCTCACATTCAGTCCTGATAGCAATTATTCACTATTGTACCACAAGAGATTCTTATCCCCATCTCCTTTTATTAGCCCCGTCCCAAGAAACTGGGACACTTAATTGTGCTCATGAGGAATATGTACCTGGACCAAGAGGCAGTTGTTTGAACAGAACATGGGAACACTGAATGGTTTAAAATTAAGAAAGGTGTGTGACAAGGTTGTATTCTTTCACCATACTTATTCAAACTGTATGCTGAGCAAATAATCCGAGAAGCTGGGTTCTATGAAGAAAATCGTGCCATCGGGATTGGAAGAAGACACATTAACAGCCTGCAATATGCAGATGATACAACCTTGCTTGCTGAAAGTGAAGAGGACTTAAGACATTTACTGATGAAGATCAAAGACCACACACAGCCTTAAGTATGGATTACATCTCCAAGTAAAGAAAACAAAAATCCTCACCACTGGACCAATAAACCACATTCTTATCAACGGAGAAAACATTGAAGTTGTCAAGGACTTCATTCTTCTTGGATCAACTATCAACATTCATGGAAGCAGCAGTCAAGAAACCAAACGATGTATTATTGCATTAGGCAAATCTGCTGCACAAGACCTCTTTAAAGTGTTGAAGAGCAAAGATGTCAGCTTGAGGACTAAGGTGTGCCTGACCCAAGCCATGGTATTTTCAATAACCTCATATGCATGCAAAAGCTGTACAGTGAATAAGGGAAACCGTAGAAGAATTGATGCTTTTGAGTTATGGTGTTGCAGAAGAATATTGAAAAGTGCCATGGACTGCCAAAAGAACCAAGAGATCTGTGTTAGAAGAAGTGCAGCTAGAGTGCTCCTTGGAGGCCAAGATGGCCAAACTTCATCTCTCATACTTTGGAGCTACTGTCAGGAGGGACCAGTCGCTGGAGAAGGATATCGTGTTTGGTAAGGTGGAGAGTCAGAAAAAATAAGAAGACCCCCAACAAGATGGATTGACTAAGTGGCAGCAGCGATGGACTTAAGTGTGGCAACAGTAGTAAGGTTAGCCCAGGACTGGTTAGTGTTTCGTTCTTCTGTGCATAAGGTCACTATGAGTCGGTACTGACTTGATGGCACCTAACAACAACAAGAGATTAGAAACCATTCAGTGGATATTCTACCTTCCTCCATCCCATCTGGAACTAGGCTCTCCCTTGAAAGCTTATAAGCCAGTCACTTTTTGCCTTTGTAGCCCCCCATTTTGGGTAGCCAATGTCTAAACTGCCCATCCCTGTCAACCCTGTGTACCGAGGGAGTGGGAGTGATCCTCACTGTAAAGATTTGTTCCTTTTTCTGAGTTACTACAACCATAGTATAGGTAAAGTTCATCAAATTGTAGCGGGTTACTCTTTTTTTTTCCTCTTCTTTCTTTTTATAGTCGAGTTCTGATCATCCAGCCATTGAAGCCAGGTCGAGTGGGTACTATCTGCAAGTATGAGTGTTCTTGTGCATCTCCCCTCACTTCATATCAGCTGGACGCTTCATTCTCTGCTCTAGTCCTCTGTGGCCATGTCACTGCCTCTGGGCTCAGGAGTCCCCGGGTCTTGCCTTTCTGCTGGCCATCCAGGTCTCTACCCGGATTCACAGGAGTCTACTGAATGTGGTCAGACTTAGCTCCCAACTTCATTGCTGTTTTTCCCCTTCTCCCCCTTTTCATTGACCAACGTGATCACCAGCCAAACCACAAGCCTGCTCGTGTATTCTCCTTGAGTCTTAGTCTTGGAAGGGGGTTTGCTCTGATGGGACCCAACCACTTGCCTTGATGGCTCCCGGGCTAACAGCTTGCTTGTTCTTGTATTAGTCAATCAGACTGCCATTATTGTTTTTTATTTTCCCTGCTGGTCTTTCTTTCACAAAGTATCTTCTGTTCTTCTAGCTACTCCAGGCTGGTCTACTTGTCCTTTCAAGTGGAAATTTCCCACCTCAGAAGATTCTGGATGGGGTTCAGGATTCCACCTATGGTCTTATGCAATGCAAAGGTTCCAACTCTTTCACTGGGCAACTTCTAGCCCCCTTTTTAAGGTATTCCAATTAGCTATAGGCTGAAGATGCTCTTACAAGCTTTCTATTGTGATGTTTCCGGCTATTCCTTTCTCTCCCACTCAAGTGTCTATTTTACAATGGTAAGCAAAGGAAACCAAGATTCAAAAGACAGCCAAGCATCTTAACATTATTTCTCTCTTTTACCTATTCAAACCATGCCTCAATCCCTGTATCCCGGAGTCCTGTTGTTCTAAGGTTGTTCATACATCATCATTTACCTCTCTGTCCCACTTAGCCCATGTAAAGCTGCCTAGCTGTTCTACCATTCCCCTCCCTCTTCTCGTGTCTGTCTATTCTCTACTTTGTGCTCTATCTTCCCCTCCCTCCCTCCTCTCATTTTATGCCAAACATCTCAGTGATCAGCAAATATATATACAATTTTTTTTTCTCTTTTAGGGTGGGTTCTTTTTCTTAATCTTTTACAATAATGGTCCCATGCAGTATTTCTCCTTTTGTGACTGACTAATTTCACTCAGCATAACGTCCTCAAGGTTCACCCATGTTATGTGGTGGCTTGCAGCTTCCTTGTTGTTCTTCAAGGTAGCAGAGTTTTCCATTGTGTGTATGTACCACAGTTTGTTTATCCATTCTTCAATTGATGGGCACTTAGGCTGTCTCCATCTTTTTGCTATAGTAAATAGTGTTGCTATGAGCACTGGTGTGCTTTTTTCCTTCTTCTTGTCTTAATAACTTTTTGCCTTCTTCCTGTATGATGTGTCATGGGAGGGGGTAAAATAATATAGAACTGCACTTCTTGTTTCAGATCCAGAAAGTTGTGCTGAAGGGTGCTCTGAGAGTTGTACTTTCCCCCAGAAAAATGAGGACAAGTGGCCTCTACCTCAGGATCAGCAGAAGATTTAGGGGGAGAGGCCCAGACAGAGCACTCGAGCAGGTGTTGGGCACACCCATTGGGGGAGGTCGGGAGAGCATGGGGTCCTTCTCTCCTATCCCTGTGCCTGGAAGAAAAGTTTTCTCCAACAATACCACCCCCAGAGGATGTGCTGGAAAGAGGGCTCCCACCCTTCTACAAGGAAAGAGAAGTTGGGTAGCTCCCAGGAGTAGAAGTATGACTAACGGGAATAGGATGCTGCCTCTAACAGACACAGGCTCCCTCCTCTCCCACCCTCTGCTTGCCTCAGGCATGCTCTCCTGGGCCCCTGGGTCCCTCTTCAGCCACATGTGCCCCTGCGATGGGCAGCAGCGGTCTCCCCGAGCCAGGCTGCCCACCTGGGGAAGGTCCGGCTTCGCAGCTCCTTGATGAAGAGCTGGCTGCCATTCTGCACAGGCTTGACATCAGGCGTTGGCCCCTGCTCATGTTTGTGCCAGCTCCGTTTCTTCTTCACTGTAAAGAGAGGGACAGGGGTCGATCACTGCACCTAGGTGACCAGGCAAGCAGGGTGCAAACCGAGGTTGGGGGCCAATGCTTGTGGGTACAACAAGGCTCTAAACCTCCTGAGAGTCAAAACTTGAGGTTCCTCAGGGGATGAGACACTCACCTCCCAGCAACTCCCTAGCAGAGTTTGGTCACCTTCCCTCTGTTTTCCACAGTTTCAATATATTCTCCCACCCTGACTCATCTCTCCCCACCTTTCTGAGCTCAGCCCGTGGGACCACTGCCCAACACTACTAGAAGCTGGGAGTCTCCAGGGATCCCTTTCCACTCAGGCACCTAGGCTGCTGAAGTCTCTGCAGAGCCACCTCTCGACACGGTTCCCACCTAAGGTCCTGGCCTGGACTGTCAACGCTCTCCTAAGTGGGCTCACTGCTGCTATTCCCTCACCCTCAGAGCCACAGCACAAAGAACTAAGACTACCTGGTTTGCTCCTTCTCCTTCCGCATCCTCCCAACTAGCACAACTTCCTGTCCACAGCCGGGACCCCACTGTATCTATGAGCATACCTTCCTTCCAGAGCATCGGGTACTCACACCATGGGCCCCCACACATGCATGCAGTGCTCAGACATGCATGCACAGATAAGCATGCCTCCTCCCAGAGCATCTGGCGCCCACACCATGGACCCCCAATACATGCACACATGTTCACACATACATGATTATACACGCACCCATAAGCATGTACACCATGTACAGTACACACACATGCACATGTGGGTACATGCATGAGTAAATCCCTACAGAACTGCGTGCTCCATGAAAGGAGGGAACAATTTCTTTCTTTTTTGCCATCTCTGTCCTCAATTCCCAGCCTGTTGCCCAGTCCAAGGTGAACACACGGCCAAGGGCATAGTCAAATGCCTCCTTGGGGCTGTCCAGAATCTGGAGACAGGCTGATCAGGTAAAATTCTGAGACCAGACCTAACATCATAGCTGGAAGGGCAACCCTCTGGCTGCCTGCTAAGCCAGGCAGAGCCTAGACTAGTGCCTCCCTCACAGGTGAAGGCCAATAGGGTGCTGCAGAGATGGCAGACCCCAGCTAAGATGGCTGGGGGACAAGAAATACATCTTTCTCAGTCCTCCAAGCCTCCAGGGCTAAGAAACTAAAGAAGCGATGCTGTAACAGTGATAAGCCACCCACCACCCCCAGCAGCCTTGGGAGCTGGACGAGGTGAGGGGTCAGGCGGGAAGTGCCTCACTGCCTTCGTTCCAATCTACCTTTTGGTTCCCTCATGAATCACAGATTCATAGCAACAGCATGGGATTTTTGTTTATAAGAACCTCAGCATATCTGACCTCCATAACCAAGATGAGAGTGGTTATTGTGGGAACTTCATGAGCAAGGGTTTAAAGCTGGCTCAGGTGGGTCTGAAAAGGACCTCTTAAGATTTTCCAGCTGGTGGCTCAGTTGGCACATCTGTGCCTCAGCTTCCATGCAGAGAAGCCAATACCAATCCCCAGCACTTCCCACCCAGGCAGGAGCAGGTGGGGACTCCTTACTTACAGGTTGACTTCCCATGGGTTTTCTCGCAGTTTGGACAATGGTATATGTCGATATCTGGTGCCTCCTCTTCTTCCACCCCAACACAGCTGGAATGGGACAAAACAGAGATCCATTACTCACATGTAGCAGCCCTTCATAGCCTTTCCATATGCACAGCTTTGGAGGCCTGCTGAATCTGGAAGGACCCAAGGCTAGGCAGCAGGACACAGATGGGCAGAGCGTGTACTGGAGGTGTGGGGACAGAGGGCAGGAGCCAGGAAGGCTGTGCCAGGAGTTCACAGGAGGAGATTTCACAAGACTAGGAGGTGGCAGGAAGGAAGGGAGCACAGGGTTATCATGGGAGAGGTAGTAGAAACAGAGCCAGACAGGTATGGGGACTCTGGACACACTCCACCATCAGGACCACCTGGGTGAGAGTCTTCCTTACCCTTTCACCATATAGCCCAACAATGGGGGCAGGAGACACCAGGTAGAAATCACAAAACTCAGAACCAAAAGAACCTGGGCCCAACCCATCTACCCCTTCCATTACAGATTGGAAAGTGAGGCCTGGGGAGGGGATGGTGCCCAAGGCCTCAAAGCAAATGGGTGGAGGAACTGGGTCACTCAATGCCACATCTGAGTTCCTCTGCTACCCCTACCACATGGCAGTGGTCCTCAGATATCCCAGGGCTCCCAGTCATCTAATCTGCTGAAAGCTCCTTCTCCTTGGCTCTGTGGGAGGGGAGTCATGGGCACCTGCCAGCCTTGCACGAGTAGAACTTCCACCTAGCTCATTTTCTGCAGGTCAGGGTCAAGGCTCAGTCCTAGGTTCTAAGCCCAACTGGGGGCACACTCAGGACCCTGAAGAGGTCAGAGTTCCTGTAACACTCTGCAAACCTACATAGACCTCTAAACACAAGACAGAGCTCCACTCACACCAATGCAAGGAGTGATAGGCAACAACTCTGGTGCACCTGGTATACAATGTTACAGAAACGTCTCTAGAATCAGCCCAGCCCAATGAAACGATGGTGTCCCAACCTAATGTGCTCAACTAGTCAAACCAAAGGAAAAATGTTGCTGAACAAAATTAGGAAAAGATACAAAGGAAGAAATGATAGTAGCTGGGTATAAAAAACGTACCCTTATTTACTACTGCCTGATAACCAGGTTTATATAAAATAAAGTTGCATTGGGTAAGAAATCAACATGGTAGTAATATTCCAAAGCTGTCATACTGTAGTAGATTAGTTATTTGAAAATGTTTCAAGTGGTACTATTCATTACTACCTCTTGTTTTATGTATGTTACTATTCAGTGAGGTCTCTCATTTTAGTTTTCCAGGACTGAGAAGCTTATCTTGTTAAGTTACTCATGTGTGTTGTCTTATTTGACGTTAAACTTTCTTGTTAAATATTTGTACTACTACACGGTATCCACGAGAGCCAAAATATATCCCACCTGAATTTAGAGATCTGAAGAACAGATTTGATACAATAAACACTAAAGACCGAAGACCAGAAAAGTTGTAGGATGACATCAAGAACATCATACATGAAGAAAGCAAAAAGTCATTGAGAAGACAAGAAAGAAGGAAAAGGTCAAAATGGATGTCAGAAGAGACACTGGAGACACTTGCTCTCCAGCGTAGAGATGCTAAAGCAAATGGAAGAAATGAGGAGGTCAAAGAGATGAACAGAAAATTTCAAAGGTCAGCTCAAGATGATAAAGCCAAACATTACAACAAAATGTGCAATGATCCAGAATCAGAAAACCAAAAAGGAAGAACACGCTCAGCGTTTCTCAAGCTGTGGGAACTGAAGAAAAAAATTCAAGCCTTGACTTTCGTTATTGAAATATTCACTGGGCAAATATTTGAATAATGCAGAAAGCAGCAAGAGAAAATGGAAGAAATACACAGAGTCACTATACCAAAAGGAAATGGTTAATGTTCAACCATTTCAAGAGGTAGCATATGATCAAGAGCCAATGATCCTGAAGGAGGAAGTCCAAGGTGTATTGAAGGAATTGGCAAAGAACAAGGTACCAGGAACAGATGGAATAAAAATTAAAATATTTTAAGAAAATGAGGAGGCACAAGAGGCACTCACTCATCTCTACAAAGAAATTTGGAAGACGAGCATCTGGCCAATTGATTGGAAGAGATCCATATCTGTGCACATTCCAAAGAGAGGTAACCCAACTGAATGTGGAAATCATCGGACAATCTCTTTGATAATCCATGCGAGTAAAGTTTTGCTAAAGGTAATACAGAAACAACTACAGTTATACATTCACAGAGAACTTCCAGAGGTTCAAGCCAGACTCAGAAGAGGCCGTGGAATGAGGGATATCATTGCTAATGTCCGATGGATGTTGGCTGAAAGCAGAGAATATCAGAGAAATGTTTACCAGTGTTTTATTGACTATGCAAAGGCTTTTGATTGTGTGGATCATGACAAGCTATGGACAATATTGCAAAGTATAAGTATTCTGGAACACTTAATTGTGCTCATGAGGAATCTGTACCTGGACCAAGAGGCAGTTGTTTGAACAGAACATGGGAACACTGAATGTTTTAAAATTTAAAAAGGTGTGCGACAAGGTTGTATTTTTTCACCATACCTATTCAACCTGTATGCTGAGCAATTAATACGAGAAGTTGGGTTCTATAAAGAAAATTAAAACAACTCAGCAAGAGCAAAAATATGATATATTTGATGTAACAGACACTAATGACCAAATGCCAGGAAAGCCATGGAATGGCAACGAGAGTATCATACATGAAGAAAGCAAAAGGTCATTTAAAAGACATTGGAGGGGTGGGGGTGGGGAGAAGAATGACCAAAGTAAATGTCTGGAAAGATTCTGAAACTTGCTCTTGAGTGTAGTGAAGCTAAAGCAACTGAAATAAATGATGAAGTAAAAGAGTTAAACAGAAATTTTCAAAGGGTAGCTGAAAAAGACAAAGTCAAGTATTATAATGAAATATGCAAAGACTGGAAATTAAAAAACCAAAAGAAAAGAACATGTTCAGCATTTCTCAAGCTGAAAGAACTGAAGAAAAACTGAATTCTACAAGCAAAAAAATGAATGATGCAGAAAACATCAAAAGGCAATGAAAGGAATGTAAAGTCACTATCCCAGAAATAATTGGTTGATGTTCAATCATTTCAAGAGGTAACATATGATCAAGACCAATGATACTGAAGGAAGAATTCCAAGCTGCACTGAAGGCATTAGTGAAAAACAAGTCACCCAGAATTGACAGAATACTGATCGAAATGTTTCAACAAACTCATGTATGTCAAGAAATCTGGAAGACAGCTATCTGGCCAACCAATTGGAAGATATCCATATTTGTGTCCATTTCATAAAAAGATGACCCAATGGAATGTGAAAAACATTGGACAATATTATTAATATCACAGGTAAGTAAAATTTTGATAAAAAATAATTTAAAAACAATTGCAGCAGCACATCCACAGAGAGCTGCCAGAAATTCAAACAAGATGCATAAGAATATGTGGACTAAGAGCCATCATTGCTGATGTAAAGAATTCCATAAAGATGTTTATTTGTGCTTTAGTGATTATGCAAATGCTTTCAACTATGTGGATCATGACAAACTATGGGTAACAACTGTGAAGAATGGGTATTCCAAAATAACTAATTGTGCTCACAAGGAGCATTACATAGATAATGAGCGAGCTGTTGGAACAGAACAAGGGAATACTGAATGATTCAAAATCAGGAAAGGTGTGTGTCACGGTTGTATACTTCTACCATGCTTATTCAATCTGTCTACTGAGCAAACAATCCAAGAAGCTGGATTATAGGAAGAAGAATTTGACAACAGGATTGGAGGAAAAGCCACTAATAACCTGCTATATGCAGATGATACAACCTTGTTTGCTATAAGTGAATAATATTTGAAATACTTACAGATGAAGATCAAAGACTATAGATTTTAATATGGATTGCACCTCCAGTGTAAACTAGACCAATAAATAACATTATGATAAATGAAGTTGTCCAAGATTTCAATTTGCTTGGATCCACCATCAATGCTCACGGAATTACAGCAGTCCAGAAATCAAAAACTTATTGCATTAGGCAAATCAGCCACAACAGACCTCTTTAAAGTGTTCAAGAACAAAGATGTCAGTTTAAAGACTAAGGTGCGCCTGATCCACACTATAGTATTTCCAGTAGCTTCATATGTATATGAAAGTTAGATAATGAATAAGGAAGACCACAGAATTGATTAATTTGAATTATGGTGTTGGAGAAGAGTATTGAAAGTATCATGGACTTTCAAACAAATCTGTAGCAGTACAGCCAGAATGCTCCTTAGAGGCAAGGATGGCGAGACTTTGTCTCTTATACTTCGGATATATTATCAGGAGGGACTAGTTCCTGGAGAAGGACAACATGCTTAGAAAACTAGAGGGTCAGTGAAAAGGAGGAAGGCCTCCTGATGAGATGGACTGACACAGTGGCAGCAGCAGTGGGCTCAAATATAACAATTGTGAGAATGGTGCATGACCAGGCAGTGTTTGTTCTGTTGTGCACAGGGACGGGTCGCTATGAGTAGGAACCAATTAGATGGCACCTAACAACAACAGAGGACCACAAATTCCCTTCTAGAAAACTGGCATAAATGTGTAACAGAAGTCCCAAACTTGCTTTCCTGTCAGCATCTTTCGCACCACAGCACAGGATCTACCCTTAGGATTGGGGCTCTAACTCACATATCCAGGAATTTACTTCTTAACAGCATTTCTGGAGTATATTTGCCTGAGGTGGTCTTAAAGGTAACCCCAAGCATGACCAGGAAGAAATCACTATGGGCCAGTGGAGATTCATTCGTCACTTATGTTCTACAAGCCCCATGATCCTAAACTAGACAACCAAGTGCTTTGATTGGCACATCCCCCCACCCATTGTTGTTGTTGGTATGTGCCGTGGAGTCGGTTCCGACTCATAGTGACCCTGTACAGGTTTCCAAGGCTGTAAATCGTTATGGGAGCAGAAAGCCTCATCTTTCTCCAGCTGGTAATTTTGAACTGCTGACCAAGGTTAGCTCCTTGATTTGTAACCA